GATCCGCCTTGACCAACGTGTGCGCCCAGTGCTGAGCAAGTGTCTGGAAGGGACCTGTGAAAGGTTTGAGCTGTGCAGCCTTTCCGTGAGGCCGTGTGAGATTGTGCAGGATGAGCAAGGCATGCTGAGCTGCTTTGAGCCTTGTGGAAGAGGAAGCTGCTGGAGCTTTGTAGGCCAGACAGCTGATCAATGGCTGAACCAACAGACGAAGTTGTACGGCCCATGACCGCGGTGCCGATGTGTTAGCATCCACGAATGGCGCAAAGAGCACTGTACAGAGTGGGCACAAGTTGGAGAAGTGAGCACATGCACACCGATTGCGGGATGTCGAACAAAGCCACGATGCTCGACACACTCACAGTCCTTTTCGATCAGCACATGGCTCCAAGCCTCGATCATGTCGGCGACGCCGCGCTGATTGCCTCTCAATGCCCAGATCAAGCTTCTAGTCATCCTGATCACTTGCACCACCTCCCTCTCGCTCTCTACTCTCCCAGCATCCCTCCAGAATTCATCTGCGCACTCTCTTCTGATCTCTCTTCTGCATTTACACGCTCTCCACCAAGCTTGCAACCTCAAAGCGCTGCTCTCTCTTCGTCTAATTTCTTGTCTCGCTGCTCTATCCGCTCTTGCGGAAGCTGCGATCTGAGCAGAAGAACTTCCCGAAGCGTTGCTGCCTCCCAAATTGATTCGTCTCTGCGAAAGGGATCCTGTAAAGTTGTAATCCATCGTGGAGGAGGAGGGATTATGCCGGGATTGAGAAGTCTTGTCAGGAGTTTTGCTCGGCGTGCGTCGGCGTCCAAATGGTTGGTTGAGAGGGGGAAAGATGGGTCACGCCGAGCGAGCGACCTTCACCTTTCAATCTCGCCTGTGTTACGCGAACTTTGCTCCAGACGGTGGCGACGAGTTCGGCTTGCGTCAAGGGCCATAGATGCCTTTTGCACCTATATCAGCTGCTCACTTGTGACGCGTCACCCACGCAAAGGCTGTGCAGCAAGGATCTGAGTCAGGGAATGCAATGATCCAAATAAGAAAGATGAGATGGCGAGGCGAGTGTGAGTGGATGCTTGATGGGTTCAAACAAGCCTGCAAGCAATCGTGCATGTGAATGATCGTGGGTGGGCGTTTGTGAGATGAGATTCGATTCGATTCGATTCAGATTCAGATTCGTCATCGCTGCAAGCCAGACTCGGACTCAAGTCTCACAACTTCGTCGCTGTGTAAAGTACGCACGATGGGATGCGCAGACCAAGACCATCCCATCCCCATGCATCCATGCCATGCCATGCGTGCATGCGAGATCACGCTTCGTCAGCTCAGAAGCCACGCAAGCGCA